AGGAGGAGGAAGAAGAGGAGGAGGAGGAGGAGGAGGAGGAGGAGGAGGAGGAGGAGGAGGAAGAGGAAGAGGAAGAGGAGGACTGTGGAATCCTTGGTGCTCTCTGAACTTGGTGGTTTTCTTGCAGATGTTTCATGACCCAACTAGGAAACATCATCAGTGCTAGAAGGGAGTGGGGTGTGCAGATAGGAGGAGGACGACGACGACTGTGGGTCCCTAGTGCTCTCTGAACTTGTTTTCTTGCAGACATTTCATGACCCAACTAGGCAACATCATCAGTGCTAGAAGGGAGTGGGGTGTGCAGATAGGAGGAGGAGGAGGACGACGACGACTGTGGGTCCCTAGTGCTCTCTGAACTTGTTTTCTTGCAGACATTTCAGGACCCAACTAGGGAGCATCATCAGTGCTAGAAGGGAGTGGGGTGTCCAGAGAAGAGGACGATGACGAGGTTGTTAACACAGGGAGACTAGACAGCAGAAGTTAATATATCTATTAATTAATGCCGTACTAACTACAGTTTCCAGAATCCCACCCAATCGTCTCTCCTGTAGACCTTATGCATTTGGTCCCGGCCTTCCTCCGGTCAGGTGGAAGAGCAAACAAGAGCGCCTGGCACCCTCAAGGGCAGAAAGAACGAGGAACTGACAGCCACACCTGTGCCAAGAACGCTACAAAAGGCAGAGAGCCAGTACTGAATTCACCTAGAGCCATGCTAATATACAGGCCCCGAAGAAATCGTTCCAACCGAAGAAAGGAAATCAAGCTTTTTTTTTTTTTAAAAAAAGAAAATTAAAAAAAACCCACACGGGTATCCTTTTTCAAATCAGTGCTTTAAGGGTGGAGGTCTGTTCTCCGGGCCTGTGGGTTGGTTTCCGAACGTTTCATTACCAGGCTAGATAATATCTTCAGTGGAGTTTAGGGGGTGTCGGTATTCTTCTGTTGATAAGGGCAAAATGGGATTATAAGAACAAATCTTCGCCCTCGTCCTACGCCCGAGCTACAGATAATAATAATAATAATAATAATAATAATAATAATAATAATAATAATAATAATAATAATAATAATAATAATAACAACAACAACAACAACAACAAATCCAGTCTGAACATCTGGCTGACTGTGCGATGATCCATAATAATAATAATAATGATGATGATGATGATGATGATGATGATATAGAGTTGGAAGGGACCTTGGAGGTCATCTAGTCCAACCCCCTGCTCAGGCAGGAAACCCTATACCATTTCAGACAAATGGCTGTCCAGCCTCTTCTTAAAAACTTCCACTGTTGGAGCATTCACCGCTTCTGGAGGCAAGGAGTTCCACTGGTTAATTGTTCTAATTGTCAGGAAGTTTCTGCTTAGTTCTAGGTTGCTTCTCTCCTTGATTAGTTTCCATCCGTTGCTTCTTGTCCTGCCTTCAGGCGCTTTGGAGAATAGCTTGACTCCCTCTTCTTTGGGGCAGCCCCTGAGATACTGGAACCCTGCTATCATGTCCCCCCCTCGTCCTTCTCTTCGTTAAACTAGACATACCCAATTCCAGCAACTGTTCCTTGTATGTTTTAGCCTCCAGTCCCCTGATCATCTTTGTTGCTCTTCTCTGCACTCTTTCTAGAGTCTCAACATCTTTGCCACCAATCAACTTTCACTCAAGCTTCTGTTGTTGGTGACTAGCAGAACACTATACGCCAATCACTTCCTTGTGCGAAAGGCCAGCCGTGCCTTTGACTCGATCAGACGTGATCAAAACTCCATCGAGAGAGTCAACATCTCCCCGGGAAGATGACAAACGCTGACAAGCACTGCAAATTCGCAACGCGGCGGTGAAAAATGGATTTGAAGGGGCGGCGCCAAAGCTTCCATAAGATCCCTTCCCTACAAACTGGATTTTAAAAGTTCCTTTTTCTGCCTGCCAATCACAAATCACGTCTTTTCATGCCACAGGAAGCGCGTTATGTGCGTAGGATGAAACACACAAATCTGTTTTTATACACCATTATACAACACAGGTGTTTGGGGTGGTCGGATCCCCCGAGGGCCAAGGTTTTCTCTGACTGAATTTTTTCCCGATCGCATAGCACTGCAAATTCTGTTTCCCTCCCATCGGAGAGGGAACAGCCCTGCCTTTTCATCATCAGGGTTGCTGCGGTGGTTTTTGGGAGGGTTTATATGCTATGTTCGAGTGCCTGCATCCGGCTGCGTGATGGGAAAAGGCAAGGATGAGGGGGTTGAAGTGGATGAGAGATGCAAGGGGGAACCCCAGGGGAACCCGGACGAAGACATCCAAGAGCCTCATGATAGTAAACAGAAGGTGAAAGAAGGTGAAACGTCTACATGCGGGTAAAAGAAAGGCAGGTACCGCGCAGGAGCGCATATACCGGGGCCCAGTCACGCGATCACGCAGCCGGATGCAGGCACTTGGTGATCGTATTTATTTCGACATAGTATGGACATACCCAAGAGTCGCATTTTTAGCTCTATTTCTAGCCATATATATATTTTAAAAAAGGGACAAACATTTGCTGAATGTTTTTAACGTTCTCACAAAAACACCGAATGAAAAGGAGATTCTCGGCGCCTGTCATCTATTTCCTCTCCAAACGCCACAAGGCTTTGGAGATAATTCCCCCCCCCCCAATATCAAGATCTCAACTTGTGGACTTCAGTTCCCAGAATCCCCCAGCCAGCCACCACCTCCTGGGAGTTGAAGTCCACAGGTCTTAAAAGTGGCCAAGGCTGGACAACCCTTGCTCTACAGCAGAGGTGTCAAACTCAATTTCATTGAGGGCCGCATCAGCATTGTGGTTGCCCGGGGGGGGCAGGCGGGGGGGGCAGGCTGGGTGCGGCCTACTGGGTGGGCGTGGCCAGCTCTACATGGTTCGCGTAAAGGGTGCCTGTGGGGGCCTGGGCAGGAGTGGGGCAGATCTGAGGGTCTCTGGCAGAAGGGGGGGTGGGACCGGTGCAAGCGCCAAGGCCTGGTCCACTGGAGGAGCCTCACCGTTCCTCTCAGGCCATGTGGGGGGCTGGATGGTGATACGGGCTGCCTGGAGCCCTGGGCAGCAGAGGCCAAACGCCCAGCCTGGCCCTCGAGCATCTGCGGCACCAAGCCCAGCCCCACTACCCCAAGGGGTGTCCAGCTGCACTTACCCCCTCCTCAAGGCTGATGCTGCTGTGCTTGCTCTCCTTAGCCAGGTTGCTCATGATGGGTACGAGGGCAAAGTCAGAGGGAGGCCCATTCCCTCTCCATGGGAGGAGACCCAGCTTTGTATCCAAAGCTTCCTTAGCAATAGGATGGGAGACCCCCAGGATAGGCCAGGAGGAGGGGGCAAGGGGGAGGGTGAAAGGGCAGCAGGGCAGGACTAAGGCAGGACCTCCCTCAGACCCTCCCTCTCCTTCCTTCCTTCCTTCCTTCCTTCCTTCCTTCCTTCCTTCCTTCCTTCCTTCCTTCCTTCCTTCCTTCCTTCCTTCTTTCCTTCCTTCCTTTCCTTCCTTCCTTCCTTCCTTCCTTCCTTCCTTCCTTCCTTCCTAAGTACAGAATGGTGGGAAAATATTTGAGATGAGGGAGGGAGAAAAGCAGGCAAGAAACGCAGCCAGGGCCAGGGCCAAAGCAGCGGGGGCCGTTCCTTCACTGTTTCCAGGATGGCTTTGCGGGCCACACGAAACCACTTCGCCGGCCGCATCCGGCCCCCAGGCCTTGGGTTTGACATGTCTGCTCTGCAGGATTTCTCTCGCCAAATGCAGGAAAAGCAATTGGCCAACTCAAAGAATAATAATAATGCAACTCTTCCAAAAAAAAATGCAACTAAGAAACAGCAAAGGTTTGACACGGGGGAACTGTCCCCTGTCTCTTATTCCGTTCTCCCACCTATTTTGGGAATGCCTGTGGGGGGGGGGGGGAGGAAGGCAGCCAAATTTCACCGATCAAGAACTTTCTTTCGTCCTCCACCTTGATGGCTGCTTTGGAATATCGCCCGGGCATCTCAGGAAAACGTTATCCCATG